GTCTTCAAACCAATAGAGCGCACAAATGAATATTGCAGAAATAGAATACAGGAAAAAAAGGAAAGGAAACAAAAACAACAAGACTGAAACTAAATTTGCTCTGGAAAATAATTTGGGCAGCACTTCGTTATCTGAATGCGGCTCCCTTTCTCAGCTCCCCTCCTTCCCCTTTTATAGAGGTGAAATGCTAACGGTTGTAATTTGCAGAAGGTGGACTTAGAGTCAAAAAAATTAGGGAGTAGTGGTCCATTATTTGGGACTTGGAACTGGTTTTCGCACGTTATATGAAGCTTTGCGTTTTTGCCTGCATGACGGTCATCATGGTGTGTGACGGTCGTCATGGATGTGTGACGGTCGTCACAGCAGCAAAATGCGCATCTGCTGTTTTTCATGTTGTTTTCATCTGGTTTTCGTCCATATTTCATCTGTAATTGCTTCTTTTCTTCATATTGCTTTGTTTGGACATGATCTTCAAATACCTACAAAATATCAGACAAATAACATGGAAAAAACCCGAAATCGGATTGAAACCAGTCAAATATTAGTTGAATTATATGTCAATATATATATATATATACGATTTCGCGTTATCAGCCCTAAGGTGAGAGGTCTGTATCACAAACTCCTTCGCGATAAAATCATCTAGTTAGGTCTTAAGTTCACAATGTTATGAGGATGACTTCCTATATGGAAAGACCGAGATATGTTTAACTCATGGAATCAAGACTATGAAAAACTTCACTTCTCTCTCAGAGGGAAAACATGCTACGTCCTTAGGGAAAATATCTTTAAACTCACGAACAAGTGGAATCATGTTGACACTAGGATTTGACTCTAAGTTTGAGGGAGATTCTAAGGAAGGATTTTGACTTCCAAAATTAAGGCATTGCATGAGGTGAAAAATATTTGTAACTGTAATTAAGTCACCTTTACTCAAAACTTAGCGAATAGGATGAAAGTACACAATGTTTTCCTCACATTCAAACATTACATGGTTGATTGGCAGCCAATCCATACCTAAGATAACATCCATTCCTCTTAGGGAAAGAAAGAGAAAGTCTAAAAGATATAATGTACCTGACAGAGACAAGGGACAATCCTTGCAAACCATCAAAGTTTCTACATTAGTATTTGTGGTCGCCGAGACTACCATGGGTGACTCTAACCTAATGGTGGGCATACTCAAACGAATGACACAATCTAAGGAAATGAATGAATGAGCAGCAACAAAATACAATAACACCATTACTGTAAAGATGGATGCTGCATGTCTTTGCCTCATGGATTAAATGTTTTGATTGCTTGTCTATTAAGATTTTGATTGTGTTTACTTAGTGATGTACCCCAATTTTATTCGGGCTTTTAGTTTTTTTTTTAAAAATATATATTAAAAAAGTGTAATTTGATTTTTATTTCCTGCATTGATTTAATTTGGAATAGTTAGATTTTTGCATATTATTTAGTTTATAAAATAGTTTGATTTTCATTTCTTTTTTTTCATTATTTCATTTTATTGCTTAAAATGTATTAAAAAAACACTAAACATATTTTAATTTTTTTAAAAATATTTTATTGGTTATCTTAGTGATTAAGAAAAATCAGAAAAGTATTTGTGTCATTTGTTTTAATATGGAAAAATAATCGAAGCAGATAATATTTTGATTTGATTTCTTTGATTATATTGATCAAACCGATTTTTTCCCTATTATTTTTTAACTTAGTATTTTAGTATAATTAGTAGCCAAAATTGACACAAAAGAGAGAAAAAAAGAAAAAGAGCCACCCGTATACTCTCTCATGTGTATTTTATGCGAAGACATAAAATCATACAAAAACACAACCAAACTTCAAGCCATCACCTTCATCATCATCATCATCAACCAAACAATTCATCACCATTCCATAACAAATTCAAACTTCAACCAATCTCATAACAACATACCATCAACAAATCAAACCAAAAGATGAAACAAAGGAAAATAAAAGAAGAGAGAAACAAAGTGAGTTAAAAAGATAAAACCCAAACGAAATTAATAGAGGATACAAGTTCTCCAGAGCTCGCCGTGCACCACTGCAAAAGCCAACTCTAGCCTCCCCATCACCGTGAGGCCTCCGCTCGTACCTCTGCACCTTCGAATCGTGTCACCCTCACTTCCGCAAGATGGCCCAATCAGTAGTATACATTTTCCCTTTTCAAACTTTGCTTCCATTAGTTTCTTTTGTTTAGTTTTCTTGTAAGATTTGAAGGAAAAAATTGAGATTCTATTGTTGTTTATTGAATAGTGGGAGAGAGGATTTATGAGAGAGATGAGAAGAAGAGAGGGGAATGGATTATGATTTTTTATTTTGTTATTATCTTGTTGTATGTTTGTTTATTTTAATAAAAGCCATGTGTCACTTTCCTACGAGCTAGATTTAAAATGATGGAAGGGGTCCTGTACAGGATCCCCGTCAAGCCTACCATAGATTTGCATTTTTAAGGGCCATATGATGATGAAAAAGAGGCCATGATCTCATCATCTCACAAGGAAAATCAAGACCTTCTAATCTTTATTAGAAGGTCAGAAGAGATTGATGACTTTTACTTTAAGTTTTGTTTTCCTTTTTTGTTTAATTGGTATTTTTCTTATTGGGCTCAAAACCTGGACCCTAGCTAAATTGCTAAACCCCATTGTATTTTCATACCCCCTCTATTTTGTTTATTTTTTTGCTTCATTTTTATTGCTCCTCGGCCCTTAAGCCCACTTCACTTTTTCTAATGCAACATGAATCAATCTTTTACAACCCCTTTGTTTTATTTTAATTTTTAAATTAAATTGATATTAAAGCTTGATTATTTTAATGCTATGATTATTAATATGGTAGAATCAAATTTACAATAGCATTTAATCAAACTTGGAAACTTCATTGCTCAATAAAAAATGGATGAAAAATGATTAATTGGGCGTAGGCCTCTTTCTTCTCCGAGTATTTAAATACAAGTCATATAACTTGCCTTTTAAGTGCTCATTTTCTAGTAAAAAATACAATAATTAACCAAATATTAGGAAACTTGAGGAGATTCATTGGGGTGAAGTTGGAGCTGGTTATGTTGTTGAGTCTACTGTGTTTAAATCTATGATTTGTATTTAAATCTACATGTGTACAAATTTCCTTACTCCCCTAAGCCAAGGTATTTATTAAGGGCAATGCTAAATATGCTCTACGGGCATATGTTAAGGAGTAATAAATTACTCATGGTCACACCTATTTTATTTTGAAGAAAGAAACAATTAACTTTTGTCAAAAAAATAGGGGTGGCCCGTCGGACCGGCCCGCGCATTCGCCAAAAGATGACGGGTTTAGTTGGGATTTTGGGCCTGCCGCCCACTAAATTCCTCCCCACTAAAGACTGCCACCCGCCAAAGTCCGCTCCGCCAAAATCTGTCGGCCGTGAAAGCCCGCCACACCTAGTCGTTTATCTTGTTTGTCTTTTTTTTAGTTAATTCTAGTAATTACAATTCTTGATGGTTTTATTTTATACATTTATTTGAGAATATATTCAATATTTTTTGAAGTAAAATTTGTTTAAAAGATTCTTTATAATAATTGTTCTAAAAAATAAGTGAAAAATCTAATTGAAATCTAAAAACAAGCCTACTAATCTATTAAAAAAATAAAAAAGTAGGCGGGCAAGCCCGCTGCCTGCTTACTCGCCATCTTGGCGGGGAGAGCTAGATTTTTATACCCATTTATACTTGGCGGGCTTGCCCGCCCTGCTTTTTTTTTGGCGGGCTTAAGGAGGGACGGGGCGAGGCGGACCGTTTTTCCACCTCTAAGAAAAATATGAAAAAGTGGCTTTTAAATTTGTTATGCCAAAATTACCCTCACTCATGTAAACACTTAATGTATCTATTTGTCTTCTTAAATTTGTTTCAGTTTGTTCTACTCCCACCATTCCTTTTGTATGTCTCTACCATACTTTTGTGAAAAACACATTGATGAATTGATTTATTAAGCATGGATTTGTCATTTCTTCATAGCCCAAATGCACAATCTTTCCTTTGTATCTTAAAAGCACAATATTTGGCAGTAGTATCAAGCTTATATTTTTATTTTCTTCATGGCTCTTGCCAATATGTGTTTCTGAATTTTTTCGTATATGCTTTAACATTTACAACATACAGAGAGTTTTTTTATTATTTTTGTTTTCTTCATAGCGGAATTTTTTGTAATAGATTTTTATTTATTCTTTTTATTTGTAGATGATAAATAACACAATGGATGATGGTAGTAGTACTAGTATTAGAGATATGAACATCGAAAATATTTAATAGTTGGTTTAATGGTATACTTTGGAACAAATATTCAAAATGATGTTCTTATTTTTATGGGTTGTATAAATTTGAGACATGTGAAAAATTTGAGCATCAATGGTCAGAAGTTGTTGCTAAGTAAAAATTGCAGTAAAATTAACATGTCAAATAATTGTATGTAATCATGAATTATTGGGCCCTCGCTTATCTTCATGATCATTTCTTTGGTGTGATGACAACTACCGGAAGATCAGAGAGTATTAATGCATTTATTAAGAGATTTATAAATTCCCACACAAGTTTAAGTGATTTTACAAAGTAGATATGATGTAATTGTGAATATATTGGTACTAATCACTTCTAATATTATATATCAATTTATTTAAATTAATTTCAGGTTGATGTAGAAATCGATGATATTAAACAAAAAGAAGACCATGACATAATGTTAGAAAGGTGCAAAAGAATTAATATGAAACTTATGTCACCCTTGCAAGAGCAAGCTCGTGGTGTTCTTACATGATTTTATTTTCAGAAGTTTCAAGAGGACTTTGAAAGGTCCTTCCAATATTCAATTTATCATGAAATTGATAGTGAATTTATGTTGCAGTATTATAAAGATATTGATAGTAGAAAATACATGGTCTTTTGGGATGGTAAAATAGATACATGTAGTTGTAAGTATTTAGAGTTTAGGGGGAAATTATGTTGTCATATTCTAAGTATTTTCTTCATAAAGATTGTCATGAAATCTCTTCTAACTACTTACCATCACGATGGCAGGTTCAAGTATCACATGACAATGATGAAGTAGATCCCCAACAAGTTAGTGTTGTCTTTGGGGAACACGTCGATGTTGTTCATTGTCCTCCACTTTCCAAAGCAAATGGTCGTCCTAAACGAAGACGTATTAAATTTGGAAAAGAAATATCCCATAACAAGAATACTTGTGGATTATGCAATGATATAGGACAAAATAATGTCACGTGTCATCTAAAGGAAAATACAAAAAACAAGAAGAAAAATATTTGTAAGGATACAAACTTAAATCCAGTTCTTCTTCTAAAGATTTAGGTACATATTTATTTATTTACTAAATTTCTTATATTTTTAGTTTAATATGCTTTTGTAATATTATGTATATAAGATAACTAATAGTATTTTGTTTGTTTCTTACCGGAATATGTTGAAAATTTAGCAATTCGGATGATACTTCTAAGGATTTAGAAAACAAAGCTAATGTTAGCATAAGCATGAAGGCTCTGAATATTTTATTATAAATTTTTTAATTTGATTAAACATTTGAATCTCTTTTTGGATATCTTTTGTATAGGAATATTGATATAATTTGAACCTCTTTCTTTTTAGCCATTAGTTAGAACTCACCAGACTCAGTCCATATGCATACGTGAGGTTCTTTATGTAACAAGGTGTATGTTGTATTCTAGCTTTTATCATCTATTTAAGTTTTAAAAATATTCAGCATGTTATTTAATGGTATTTAATCGCGTAAGTCTAAGAGGAACTGTCATATGTTATATGGTTGAGGGTAATTTTGTCTTCAAATTTTTTAAGAGACAAAATTTATGATACTTCTTCTTTCAAAGTAAAATTAGTGGGGAGCAAACGCTTTGTTGGGTATCCACTCTAAAGGAGTTTGGATTGAGAAGTTGGACCCTGTTAAGCATGCGATCAAAGACCATTTTCAATCCAGATTTAGCAAATCTTGTCTAGTGCGCCCTACTTTGGACAGAGTTCAGTTTGATCAGTTGCCTTCAGAGGAGTCCTCTAGTCTAGAGGAACCGTTTTTGAAGGAGGATATCAAGGAATCTGTGTGGAATTGCGACGAACATAAAAGCCCCAACCATAATGATTTAAATCTTCATTTTTTCAAGACTTGTTGGCAAGTGGTTAAGAAGGACGTTTGCGATTTTGTTAATGAGATTTATTTGTCCGGGGTTCTTTCTAAAGCTATTACGACTTCGTTTTTTTACCTTGATTCCTAAGGTTGATAACCTGGGATCTTTGGATGATTATCGGCCTATATGCCTTAGTGGTAGCGGCCTATATGCCTTAGTGGTAGTCTTTACAAAGTTATTGCTAAGTTACTTTCCAATCGGTTGAGGGTGGTTGTCGGGAAGTTAATCTCTCATACTCAATCGGCTTTTGTGCCAAATAGGAATATTTTGGATGGGGTTCTTGTGATCCACAAAATCTTTGATCATGCAAAAAAATCTAATAGGAGTTGTATGTTGGTGAACATAGATTTTGAGAAGGCATAAGATTATGTCTCATAGGGTTTCTTGAGATATCTGTTTGCGAGGATGGGATTCGGGTCTAGATGGTGTATGTGGATGGAAGCTCTTGTTTTTAAAAAATCCATTTCTATCTTAGTCAATGGGAGCCCTACTGAAGATTTTATGGTTTCTTGAGGTCTTCGCTAAGGGAAACACTTTTCCCTTTTCATCTTGATGTTGGTGGCGGAAGGCCTTGCGGTAATGATGAGGGAAGCAGTCTCGCCGGGTGATTTTGAGGGTTACCGTTTTAACGATAACGTTCATTTTGAGATGCTTTAGTTTGCGGATGGCACATTGTTGGTAGGAAGCAGTTCTTGGCGTAACCTATGGTGCGTTAAATATTTTCTTAGAGGATTTGAGATGGTTTCGGGATTGTGTATTAACCTCTACATAAGTAGGCTCATGTGAATGAATTTGGATCTGAATTTTGTGCAAGCGGCAACGTCTTTTCTTAGGTGCGACATTAGATCTCCTTCTTTTTCTTTTCTTGGAATTCCCATTGGCATCAACCCTAGGAGGAGAGAGGGATGGCTTCTAATCATGTCCAAACTTAAAAGAAGGCTCTCAAATTAGAATAAAGTCAATTTGTCTATTGGTGGTTGGGTTGTGCTTCTTAATGTCGTCCTTTCATCTATTCTGATTTACTACTTCTCTTTCTATAAATCCCCTAAGGCAATCATTAGAAGCATCATTAAAATTCAAAGATCTTTCTTGTGGGGTGACCAAGAAGAGATGAAGAAAATTGATTGGGTGAAATGAGATATGGTTTGTTTAGAAAAGAAGGATGATGGCCTTGGAATTAAGCATTACGAGCATTTTTATCTTGCTCGTCTTTGTAAGCGGAAGTGGCAAATTTTGAATGATGACAACGTGTTTTGGTGTGACATTCTTTCTTGTAGTTACATAGACATTCGTAGGCGTATCTGTTATGTTGCTTATTTCACGACGGATAAAAAAACATCATTTTGGTGGAAAGATTTATGATCTATTGGTATGTGGGCAGAGTCTCGTAATTGGTTTGTGGAGTCATTGGCTTGCAAAATTGGAAATGGTGATATTTTTTTATTTTGGGCATGATTCTTGGTTGGGGAATATCCCATTATGTCAGTTGTTTGGTTCAGTTTTTTTGAGTGATGATCCGACATTTCATTGTGTAAGTCAGAACAGTTTGTGGATAAACGAAAAATGGCATTGGGTAGTCTATATGTTGCCTAGCCCGCGGTTGAAGGTTGTTGTGCAGCAGCTGATTGTACTACAGGGCCTACTGCAGTTGGTGGCGTAATCCACAAGGTTTTTTGGTTTCAATTTGTTATGACTATATTTTTAGATTTTGTAATGAAGGGTAGTAGTTGATGGGTCTATTTTGGAAGCATTGAATCATTTATGGAGGACAAAGTATCCTAGCAGATATTTGATATTTGGATGAAGGTTGATCTTGAATCGCATTCCTACTAGAATGAACCTCGTCCATCATGGGGTCTTGATAGGTTATTCTAATTCGTTGTGCCTTCTTTGTGTAAGTGATTGTGAGGATATCAATCACTTATTTGGGGTTTGTCAGGTAACTTTGGTTTAGTGGAGGCAAGCTTTTGGTTGGTCAAATATTCCTCTAACCTTAGTTTCGTTGAGGCTTGTTGATGGACTTTTTGCAATCGGGAAGGTGTGCAAAGCTAAGTTTAAAGTTGACTACGGGTGGATCTTTGGATTGGCGATTTGTAGGACAACCTAGGATTGTAGAAATTTTATCCTATTTAAAGATGGTTCTTAAATTAATTTTCATGGCTTGGGGTATATTAAACATTTGTTGTGGGATTGGATTTCAGTGGGTAAATCTTCGGATTGCTTGTTATTTTGGTCGGATTAGTGTGTTTCTCTGGCCTTGGGCTTAGCTTAATTTTTTGTTGTTGGTTTGGGCCGTCCTCAAAATACTCTTTAATCAAAGCTTTAATTATGTGCATTCATTAGGCTACCCTTATTCATTTTTTTTTAATTATATTATATTGTATTTTATATAAAACGATTTTCGTCAATGTCTATCTCACAACTAATACATCTACACCTATTACGTATGGTACTAAAAGGGTTGGTTAGATGACTCGCATCTGTTTGTGTCGATAGCTTGTGGGCTAGACCTCTAGCAAGAGGCATGAAGAGTTTGTCACGGGGAGGAAAAACACAAAGGAGATGAGGATTTTGTAATAAAAGAATATGAAAATAAAATACGAATGTGAGTTCTAAGAATGGTATAGTATAAAAAAAATGATATTAGAGTTTTATGAATTTGTATGAGGCAAAAATTGTAAATTTTAAGAGAAAAAAATAATTTATGAAGTAGTAACAGTTTTGCAAAACCGTCTTGCAAAATAGTCTTGATGTTGCAGGAAGCTTCAACAAATGTTCAGTAATTAAAAAAACTAGTAGGATTATCCTTATTGATTTTGCTGGACAAGACATGAACAAATTTAATGGCACATCTAAGGGAAATAAAAAAGGTAAAGAAATATTTATCTCAATTTGGGTAAGAATGTCATTCATTGTTGTAATACCCTAAATTTTACCCCTAAGATCTCACATATCATTTGCATCTCATTCCACAAACAAGATGGCAAGCTTTTGTTCTCTTGCCTTCCTCTGTGTGTTTATTTTTTAGAGATTACCGGCCACCCTTGTTTTCTTATTTGTTTGATATTTGTTTATGTTTATGTTTACTAACCATCATTCAAAATTCAAAAAAAAAAATGTTTGTTTTTTTCTTTACTAACTTTTTCAGGAAGAATTTGGATCAAAGATATCAAGTATCAGTCCCTCAGCTCGAATCAATTTCATATGAACAAAGTCAAATTTGATCTGCAAACAATTCAAAATCATCTGATCAAGGGTTTCCAAGATTTGATTGACTTTTATTCAAGAGAATCCAAGGTTCATGTGTTTATTTCCATGCCTTCTTTCACAAGCAAAAAGAATTGAGCCAGAGCCAAGACAACACATCAAAAAGGCAATTCTTTACATTTTTCGATTGTGGTAACCGATGACCAGCATTAGGGTAATCGATTACCTTCTGCGCATTTTCGGCACCAAATTCAAATGTTTCATCATGAGAATATTCTATATCACTTCATTTTAATTCCCATACCTCATCATAATTAATTCCCACCATACACCTTCACTAATCACCACTTGATCATTAATTTCCCTCCAAATTCAAATTCCAAGCCTAATTTTGTTTCTAAACCAAACTTCAATCCACCAAAATTTCCAAGCCTAACTCCTATAAATAGACGCCTTATTTCCCTCATTTCACAAGCTTTTGATATCCAAATTCACCTTGTCAAATTCTTTCTTGACTCTCTCTTTTTTCTCTCCAATTACCAAATTTACCAAAGCTCTTTCTTCCTTTGAAAGTTAGTAAGTTCATCACTAGAACTTACTAACCTTTGAGCTAAACCTTCATCCATTCACTTTTTCATCATTAATTTTAGTAGATCGAGGCTTTGGAGTTTGATTTTTAGAGTTGATTTGAAGAATTTCCATATTTGAAGTGGTAATTTCTTGACCCACCATTGCTGCTCTTGATACATCCTTCACAATATGATCTACTGTTGATTCTTGTTGCTTGATCTTTGTATCTTGCAAATTGTGTTTCATTGGTGTTGATTGTTGTTATTTTACTTGAGTTTTCGTGCTGAATTGCATCCTTGACCATGAGGTGTTTGAAGAAATGATTGATCAAGTTTTTTCACATTTTTAAAATCTGATTTTCTATTTTTTAATAGGTGT